CAGGCTGAAACATTGCAGAGAGCGTGTTGAGTGAAGCGTATGCAGGAGCTGGAGTCTGAGGAACACGTGGCTATACGCTGGAACACAGTGTTTACAGTGCAGCTTCATGGGAAGCTTTCAGGATTTGTCGCTCTGGCTCCAGGCGTGTCGGTAAGGTTGACGCACAATTGCAAAACTCAGCCGCTCACACATGAGCCCACGCACACAATCGGAAAGGTAATTTTCCTCGTCACACCACAGAAGCTCCTCGGATCTTAGACCTTTTCAGAGATAATACTATTTTTGTCTGGCGCAGCTTTATTGTGTTGGGAAACCGTCCTGTTTTGGAGGGCTGGTTACATCAAGGCAAACGTTAGACAGGGGACAGAGAGAGCAGAGAACTACACTTATTAATGACAAAGTGACCAAAGAAAAAGTGTTTGCTCCCCTGCAACCTGAAATATAACAGGTTTCTCTGCTTCTTTAATTACAAAATCTTAAGTGGGTGTCTAAGTGATCTTAATCAAATCAAATATCCGTATATATTTGTTTCAAATGTATTCGTAAGAGAGGAAAGTGGCATGAGCACTTGTGTTCAGTTTATGCAGGAATCATAGCTGCAGGTCTCTTAGTCTTGGCACATCTAATCACTGGGATTTATGCCCATTCTTCAGATAAAACTATTCGAGCTTCTTCAAGTTGGATTGTTTCCACTAGTTTACTGTAGTATTTAAATAATGCAGAGAGATTCTCAATTGGATTTAAATCTGAGCTTTGACTCACTTGACTATTGCTTTAGGTGTGCTGTCCAACTGGATCTCTGTTTGTCTTTGATTGTGACCAGTTTCCATGTCCATCCCAATGACATCTACATGGATGATGTTTCTGGGGTGATAAAATTAGTTGAATTTGCACCAGACAGAGATTCCTTAATGGAGAAAATGTTCAGTTTTTGTTTGATGTGACCAGAAGACCATTCACCATGTGTTGGGGAGTCTTCCACATTCATTTAGGGGAATTTAAATCAGGATGTCTGATTGGACTATTTTTAATTTTTCGATACAGGACCAAAAAATCTGAGAGTGGTAAAATGTATCACATGTTTTGTAATTACTGAATCGTCCTCCAGCAAAACTAAAACTAAGCAGAGTTGTGTTGGTTCCCTAGCTATAACTCCTAGCTAAGTTTCCAGCTAACTCCAGCTCTGGCCAGTTTGAGTCCTTTCACAGACTTACTTATACTGCGTCACAGAGAATGTTATCGTGGGAAGAGCTGAGGTATATTCAATTTGGGATTCGGGTTACAGGACCGTATTGTGTTTTTATGGTAACGACGAATAACATTTGCATTCAGATATGATAAGAGAAGAGGAAAGAGGGCTAAACATTGCTGTTAATCTGATGATATATTATGAGAACCACATGGGCTTTACCAGTTATAGGGAAGCCATGTTAATCATTATATAACTTGGATCAACTTGGCATGGAAAACTCCAAGTCTTTTCTTGTCTAGGATAACAATTCCTCCATCAAGCACCCACGGGGGGTCACTGAAAGGTTTTATGAGTGTGAATAGATCTCAATCAAACCTATTGTAGTGTAGCAGATCATTGTGGAATCAATGTCAAGGCACTGTAAAAAGGTTGTGGCAGTAGTTGGTCTCTGGGACACTTTTCTGGTTATTCTTTCATTTCTATTTTGTCTGCACGTCAGATTAAGCAACTTGTCCTGTGCTGCATGTAACCAATTTCAAGGAGACAATTAATAGTTTCCAACTAGCTTGTAGCACGGTGGCCTATTTTAACTCCATTACAGGTATTAGTGGTGATTTTCAACAGTGTAAGAACGGTTTTGGGTTGTGCGTTTTTTTTTTTGGCAGAAAGTTCAACACACATGCAACATGTCTTTTTCGGCTCTGAAAGATTGTCCATCCCCTCTCACGACTAACCGCAACAGCGTGTGCTACATTTTCTTGCTCTAATCTTGAATTTTTAATACCCTGTTGAAGGTAATGTGAAAAAAGAAGAGAAGGATGAAAGGTGAAAAAAACAACAACCTTTTGACAGTGTTGGTCAGATCGGGTTGAAACTCATGACAGCCCGTGGTGCCTGTGCGAGGCCGTGTTGTGGATTTGGTGTGCAACACTGCAGCCACCTGTCTGGGTTTTGCTCCAGCACCTGTCACCTTTGATCAGCGCACACTGAAACAAACCCTGAGCATTCCGACTAAATAGATCTCACCAGCGCAAGCGCACACAGTGAATCATTCACGAGCCCACCAGTTTAGAATGTACTTCGTTTAATCTAAGGAAATATGACATGATACAGTACAAGATTTTGGTTTAGCTCAATATTTCTTGAGTACAAGTTAAAAATACAGTATTTCAGGTAGTCTGTCTCTGTAGGAATCATACAACCTTCTGTGGGAGTTCCTTTTTCTGACTGGTTCAGCACTTTCAAATTACTCATCAGCTCTCACACATAATATAAATAAATACAACTTAAAGTCCCACTGCTTATGTGAAAAAAAACTAGCATCTGAATAACACATAGTGTGTAAATACATGCTGCTAAAAATGACAGATTGGCCTGCTACACAAACCAGTGAGTGTAGGATTTTCCCTCTATAAGCTTTAGAGTATTATATTACAGATATAAATGAATCTTTTAGTTAAGTAATACACCTCACAAATGAACAAGCTCACATTTCTCTATAACGGATGAGAATGAACCAAATTGGATTGATTTTTCCCCGATCATAACAAACGAGAGTCCTCTAAATGTGTCTCTACTGAGCTTTCTTATGGAAGCTAACCGCATTTGATAGCATGCACACAAAACAACGTACAGATGTTGATGTGTTAAAGCTGTAACATAGTCCATTTTTAATCTCATCTAGTTGAGAAAAAAGAAGGAAAACACATTTAAGAAATCTTTTTTTCCGAATAAAAAAGATCAGGTGGCAGATTACTATTAATAGGGTCATTGAAAAAAACTCCTTTACTTACATGCTCACTTTACTGTTGCAAATGTCTGACAAAATTATGAATGAATAAATTATATCTGTGCTCGCCTACAAGTTTGAACAACTGGAACAGATAACGAGTGACAATGTTTTCTTAAATGTTGTCAATCACACCATCCTCTCAGACTGGGGGGGTGTAAAGTTGATGGCTTCCTTAAAATAATTTATTGATTCAGACCTGTTTACGCTGTAAGGCCGAATGCTTTAGATTTAGCTTTTCTCTCTTTGATGGAAGTATCACAAGTTTCAAATGTGTGATCTGCTTTAGTGGACTGTGTTGAATAGCAGGCTGTCAGACACTGATGAACACAGAGTTTTAGGTGGTGGCTTTAATTCCACAGTTGGGTTCAGATTGGCCATTTACTGTTGTAAAGTATGATAATTCTTAGGTTTAGAGTCAAACTGCCTAAACCGGTGCCATTACTTTTATCATTTACAGATGAAAAACTAAATACTTAAAGCACTACTTTTAGTTTCCTTTAAATTTTTCATAACAATCTGACTGCATTGGGGCCTTTAAGGAGACGTTATTAGGGTATCCTTTAGGTCAAGCTGATTCAAAAGCTTAGCCTGTAGGATTTCAAGGCATACTATTTCTGACTGTACAATAGACTATGTTCTATATTCTAGTTTCTAGTCATATATCCTTGTTATAGACAACACAATGTTCCTCCCACTGCCAAAAGTGATTGAGGTTAGATTATATTTTAGTTTCGCTGAGACATGCTTGGATTTTGTTCTCGCAAATTAGAATCATCAGTAGTATCCACATCTGTGTCTAATTTCCTACTTTAGAATTTAGCTCTTATTTTCGAGCTAACAAGAGGGGGGGGGTTGTGTGTATGTGTGTCAAGAGATTAGGTCTATAAATTAAAGTCCATAAAGAAAAAAGGCAAATAAACTGACCATAAAACGAAACAGCTTCTGTAGATGAGTCACACTTTTTTTTCACTCGATAAATGCCTTTAAACTTTAATATTTTGCTGCATCAATAAAATTCCAATCTCACAGATGCCCCTTGCTTCACCTCAGCTCTACACTCCTGGATTTGAAAGCTGCGAAAAAACAACTTCTCTGGCACACATCCCTTTTGTGTTATTATTTCCTGAGACAGGTGCAGTGAAGAGAACATCCTAAGCAGTGATGTGAGCCACCTCAGTTCAGCGTTCAAATATGAACGACATGTAAAAGGAGAAAATAAATTATATTAGCATCAATTAAAAGGATACTTTTTCTTTTTTAAGAATTGGATGGAAACACATTAATTAGGTAGCCTGGTGTGTGCATGAACCACTGTTTGGACTAAATACATCCAAAGAAGCCCGGCCAGCTTTGCCTGTGTAAGTAACAGTGGCGGTTTTATAAGACACCACCCCTCCAGATACGCTCTGCGACTTACTGGGTTTCCCTGTACCCTCAAACCTGAGCATACACTGATTTCTCCTGGCAGTGGAACTGGGGGCTTCAGTGTGGCACTGCATTCCTCTTCTTCCCTGTGGTGCCTCTTCATATCTCCTCATACTTCTGTTATCCTCCTCATTCGTCTTCCTCTGCATCCCTCTCGGCCAATGAGCCCCTTTCTTCTTCTTCTTCTTCACTCCCTGAAGACGTTGCCTTTAATTTGAATTTAGCTGACAAAAGAAAGCCTCTTTGGTGTTGTCAACTCTGAATATTTAATCCCATGCTCACATTTGGGTGCAGTCCTCCTTTCCACATTTCTGTATACATATAAAGAATTTTGGCTTTTATTTGGAGGCAGCACGTTCTCACTCTGCCCAGCTTCTCCACCTCTAACCTCTGCTACTGTACTCTGCATTCATCCATCAATTCTCATAAACATCCTGCTTCCTCGGTGTCTTTTCATTCCCCCTTGCACAGTCGAAGTCATAAAAATACCTGGCCCGATCCTGCTTTATGCTCCCACCTCCTCCTCATTCACCCTCTCGTGCGTCTTTCTCCCCTTTCTTCCTTCTACCCCCACTCTTGCGTGGCCTGTCAGTGTCTCATGGTGTTCTTGCCAAACTTGTCGCTGAGCTGCTGGATGAGCAGAGCCAGCTCTCCAGCAGCCTGGGACTTCTCCTCCAGGAGCTCGTAGCGGAGGCTGGAAATGTCTTGCTTGATCTCCTTCAGCTCGCCTACAACACAGACAAAAAAAAAAAAAAAAAAGGAACAGACTGAATAAACAGTAATCAGGATGTGTGAGCGTGAGCAAATATAGACATAAAAGCAGGTCAGAGCATTCAATGTACATCTGCATTACCCTTCGAGCTTTAGCCCATTTTTTTTTAGTACTGAATTAATTCAGTTATTTGTTCCCACACCTAGAAAACATTTTAGTTTCACTTTACCAAACGGAAATACATTTACATAAGATGCTCTACATAGAACTTGAGTACAGAAGATATGGGGTTTCTGGTCATCTTGGGAAGGAAGCATTGTCTTTCTGTCCTAAACCTGAAATTCAGCCACGCTGGATTTGGTGCATCAATGATATTAGGTATTATGACAAGGAAATGTATAAGGAAGCCAAACTTCCTAAATATCAGAACTAAGGAGGTCACTGAGCCTATAAACACTGTCACTGATAAACAAATGCTGTGTCATGCTTCCCAAACCCCTTCACACATTCCAGTTTTGCAAACGTGCTTTCCATTCTGATTTACATAGACAAACATGTGCCATCTATGTTGTTGCAGGTTTACACTTTCTTAAAAAAAATAGCTTTTGTTAAATAATAAAACAGACAGCACAGGGTATGTATAATTAATACATGGCTGCATTTTATTATCATTTTTTTCTGGTCCTATATTAATCGGGTCCAAAGAGTTTGTGTGGTCTTGTTGACAACATGAAATATTTCGGTTGGATTTCACCCACATTGACACAGATAATTTCCCACCTGTTTATTATGTGTGTATTCCATTATAGTGCAAGCACATAAAGTCATATTTAATGTGTGCCTTCTTGGAAAAAAGAGATCGTACCTTCATTGACTTCATCGCTCTCTTTGTCCACTTGAGCTTTCAGCACATAACGTTTAATCAGGCGTTTCATGATCTTCTGCGAGAGGAGAGAAAGAGATTGTGTACAATGGACGCGACAAGGTGACGTGACACTGCACACAGTATTTATTCAGAAGTGAGACTCTCTCGACTCGTTATCTGGACGAGCACAAATGAAGCTGACAGAAGTGCGGAGCTGCACTCTATCTCTTAGTTTATGTGTGAAATATTGAGTATTGATTTACGACAGGTAATGCTGCAGCTATGGCCGGGGCTCAAACAGCCTGCCTCTGCATCCAGGCAAACCCTCCACTTACACGAGTCTAATCAAGTACCATGTCACCGGTGTGTGCACTTAAGTGTCGATATGTGCTTAATGGTTATAAAAACTCCCTGGAAGGTAATGTCTGAGAAAACAAAAGTTCAGTGAACCTGTGAGGGAAAGGAGATTTCCCTCGGGAAAAGAGGAAGAGCATTTTCTTTCCCCTCACAGTGATACACTTTGAGCTCGTGTACTCAGTTATTTGCCCTCAATCGCCCTCAAAGACCTCATTAGAGGGAAATCTCAGCCTTGCTTTTCTTCTCTTTTTGCCACCTTCCTTCAGACTATGCCCTTCCATTCAAACCAGTTATATTCATCCTGCCTGTATACCTCAGACACCCTTACCTATGCACTCATCTCCTTTTCATTGTCCCTGCCATCATCTTCCTTCTAGCTTCCCTTTCATTCTCTGGGCTATATCTGTCACATTTATAACAGCCTCTTGGTCTCCCTTCAGACTGCTTCTCTTTATTATACCAAATGTCCCATTCCCCTCTGTCTTATCTTCCCTCCGTTCAACTTTTGCTGTCAATTCTGTCACAGTCTTACCTGATATCTGGTCGGGTGTTTTCTGGATTTTCGCTGAATGAATTCTTCTCCTGGTCGTGCATAAGTTTTGAAGCGTTCATCCTGCAACAGTGAGACACAGACACTTAAATTAAATCAAATAAATTGAGTGGTAAAGGAGCCAACATGCTGCTGAAAATAAAAAGAGCAATGAAAGGGGGCCTTGATGCTCGCGACTGTCTTCAAAGCCAACAACAGCGCCATTTAGCCCGTGTGTATCTTTATTATCTGATTTCCAGATGCCTTTTACATCCATGGCCCTGCTTTCTAGCATGTGTGTCATTTCAACACAGCAGTGTGACTAAGAGTTTTAACTCTAGTGTGGACACACACAACCAGCTGCAACTTACTACAGAGTAAGTATTAAAGCTGCATAGCCCTGGAAAGAGGTCAAAATGCTATAGGACTCCGCTGGTGTTAAGAACAGCTTCGAAAAGGGAAGTGAAAACCACTATTAAACATGTAGAGTAAAAATTGACATGGTCATTAAGACATTCAACGATTACAGCCATGATTTCAAGAAGCAACACCTCTTTGTTGTCAACTGCTTTTCATTTTTAATTGTTTTCAGAATTGTTGGACATTTGTTGAGCATACAACCACAATTCCTACAATACAGTTACCAACAAACCAGATTCCTATAAACCTTACCTGAACCTTTGAATAAAGAACCGCCAAGCTTTGTTAGCTTGAAATATCGTTTTTTAAATCCAAAAGCCTTTGCTGTTTGGCATTAAAGTCACTAATCCAAACTGATGTGAACAAACAACAATTCTCTGCTTGAAGAAAGTGATCTGCAAGCATATGAACTTGTTACTTAAGGACTCAATTATGAAATGAATATATGAATACTCATAAGTAAACATCACCAGAGGCGTAGACATTTCTTGTCAAATATGTATTCATATTCCAGTCATTAAAACAGACTTTCGTGTGGTTAAAACAGACACACTTGGCCTCACTTTTCTCAAATGGTTGTTGTGCACACACCAGAGGCATCAAATCTCTGGCTCAGAGAGACTATGTTCTTATCTCTAAATCTCACTTGACATTCTCGGCATGGCACTGTGGTCTAATGTAGGCTTGATCCCCGATCGCCGGCCACACCTGCCTGCCTCTGCCTCTCTTAAACACCGGGAGCTGCACGGAACTTTGGAGGCAGCAGGGTGCGACCCATTTTGTCCCTGTCTGAAACCTGTCTGGGCATTTGTGCAGACACAGACAGAACCAATGGGTTGGCTAATTGCTCAGCTGAGGGGAGCCATTTCAGCAGAAATATCAGTTGCTGGTGGGCGAGACCGAGGCAAAGATTGATTCTGCATTAAATCTTCTCTGCTTTTCTCGTGGCATAAAGCTTCTTTTCATTAGACAGCTGATGGAGGAGGGCAGCCTGTGAGACGGAAGTGTGAAACTGAAGAAAGCTTCAACTGGGTTGCTAGCTTGGAGTGGGCCTACCTTACATTTCTCAGATTCAACCATAAATCCACTCCTTCAGGTACTACATTGAACACCAGCTGAAGATTTCTTTTGGGTGCAACTACATCCTTTTACCCAAACTGATTATCACAATTAATCTAACATTCAAAGGAAACCACAAAATGAGACAATAAGGACAATGTTAAAAGTAATTCCAACATGATTACCCCGTCACTGTGGCAAAATGCTCTATAGAAAACAACAAGGAAAACACTTTTGAGAGCATTTTATCTAAGAAAACAACCTCAAACAAGTAGAATAATGCAGAATGCAGCGATGTCAGAGGAATCCCTGACCTTGGCTTGTGAGCTGAGCATGCCCATCTCCAGCTCGTTGTTGTGTCGATGGCCGTTGGCCTTGCAGAGGCGTATCAGGCAGGATTTGATACGAAGGGCCAGGTAGTAGAAGGACTTGGGGCTGGGAACCAGGTTGAAGGGGGCAGGGAGAGTGCGGCCCTCGTCAAAGTAGGAGAGCCACAGCTTGGCACGAGCAAACTTCCACTCCACATCGGCGTCTTCCTGCAAGAGACAAACATGAAGGGACAGAGGGGGCCTCTGATGACTGATGAAGACAGAAAAGTAAATACTGTGACTTGCTTGAGCTGCTCAAACTCTAGAGGGCAGATCAACATTTCAGCTCATCCCCAAAGTCAATAAGGATGTCGGAAAATAAACAACTGACTCATCCTCAAAAAGAGCAAATCGATATGCTGAAATGACACTGGTATCGTTTTCATTTCTATTGATTGATCTCTAACGGGTCACGGTATTTTGTAAAGTCATACTCTAATTCTCCTCGAGGCACAATAAGGATCGTCAAAGATCACGATCCTTATTGACTTGTTGACAGCACGAGGCTTTTTTCTCTCGTGACTGGCCACTCACCTCTATCTCCTGGTACGAGTTATTGATCATGGCAATGAGCATGTTGAGGAGGACGACCACCATGGTGACATTGTAGACTCCATACAGCACGTAGCCAATGTTCTCTATGAACTTGTGGTCGTATTTCAGCACCACCGAGATCACCTCCGACAGCCCGAAGATCGACCAGAAAAGAGTCTTGAAGCTCTCCTCCACCCTGTGAGGGAAGAGGCAGGGAGGATTGAGTCCATGACAGTGGCTGCACACGTAAAACAGAGCCGTGCTAGCTGCCCCCATCACACTCATGAAAACATCAGATACACCTTCTAATGATCTGGGATTTATGAAGTGGCACTGATGAAATACTCACTGACTCATGTCCAATTCCAGCCCTTCCCCCCATTACTGTCTTCATCGCACACATGCAAACACACTCGCCTAGAGCGTCACACACAGAGCTGAAAGGACATGACTCAACTGCAGCGTTCAAGCGATCGTTTGGTTTGCAGAATCCAGTTCATTAAGTCGTTGCTCTGAGTTGACCTCTTTGCAGCTCAGACACTACAGTTAATGGAAACTCATTAAAAGTTTGTCTGACTTCAAAACTGCATGTATGAGATCTATTCGAAAGGTTTTATCTAAAAAAAAAAAAAGGTATTAAACATTTACACCCACGGTTCAATACATCAAATTTAGTTACTTTTTAAAATAAAAAGTTCATGGCGTTCAGTGTCACCTTGACTTGAATATCCTCATTTATGCAGCTAAAATATAGGCAGTTCTTAACCTTCACTTACCTTTTTTCAGATTTTTTTAGTGATAAATCAAGCACTGCAGCCGTTTGAATAAAAATAATGTGGTTTGTTTTATTTCGTGGGGGTTAATAATGTAATCAAGTGACCCAAAGAGTGTTACAAGGTATGGAAAGAAAAAAAAAGAGGCGAAGTAAAGCAGCAAAAAGCAGCATGACCCAAAATACTGACATTCAGACACATATTTCTTTAAAATTATCCATGAGGCTTTAGATGACAGAAGAGGAGGCCACAGTGGGGGGTGGGGGAGTGGGCTTGTTGGACTGCTGAAGCTCGAGGCAAGGAGAAACCATGGGGAGATCTGTAAGTTCTGGAGATGTGAGCTCTCTCCAAATAAACTTTATCTGGACATAGTTTCATTGGCATGCAGTAAGCTAGGTGATGGTACAAAAGAATAAAACACCTCCCCACATGCATAGAGACAGAGGCAGACAGAAACACACAGGGATTGATTCTCCCCTGCTCTCCATTTCACACATATGAAAACAGACACTCCACTGGGTACTTCAACTTTTTCACCTTGCAAGAAGAAAGAAAAAACAGATCTATTTAAGTCTCATATCAGAACTTGGTGGATTTTGAGAATATAGTCAATCATAGTCTAACACCTATGAAAATGAACACCTTTCAGGAAATATTGGTTGCTTTTTAACCAACTGGTGGTTCTAACTGGAATCTCTCTCGTTGTCAATATTCACTAATTCTTAAATGAAAACTTGTAAACTCCGTACACTGAACTTTGTTTTGATAACTAAATATATTGTTAACATTTTTAACAAAAAGAGATTCTAGATGAGTTTCCATTTTTCTGATAGACTCCGTCCATTCACTGACAGCTGCTGTTGGAGGCCAACTGTATCTGTGATTGTCGTTATTTCAGCGGATTATCCAGCTGTCACACAGGCCATGCAGCATGCTTTGCTTTTTATGACCACAGTGATTTTGTCTATGGCACATTAGTCTTGATGGCTGTTGAACAAATTACATAAAAAGGCTTTGAATGTGGAGCGAGGTGTTAGTACAGTGGAGTAGTCACAAGTACATCCATAACTGTCCTTTGTACGCATGAATAGTTTTTTTACAATAATTCTTAGAGCCTGAATGAAGGCAACTGGACTCCTTGGACCTTGGACAGTTTTAATCCGAAAGGCTTTTGTAGACTTTAAACAACATGGTCATCTCTGCTTATTTCAGAGTATAAGCAAAAATGGTTGTTGTGTGGGTGAAATAACCCTCTCTGCCCATAAGAACAAAGAAAAAGTTCAGGTGCCTTTATTCTGGCTCTTAGAAAGATCTTAGGATCATCATGACCTGGATAACTGAGAATCTACACCAACCATTTTTTTAAATCTCCTCCAAAGAAAATTATATGGGAAAGTGTTTCATAAGACCACAGCAGATCGCTCTGCTATGAATGTGCAACAGAAGCACCGAAAGGTCGCTTGCACCAAGAAAGACGAGTTGAGCTGCACCATGCTGTGGAAGTGCGGGGTTTCGAAAGGAGCTGTAAGAATTACATACACCCCATGGAGAATTACATCATCTCCTGTCTCTGCTGTAGGTTTTTTGTATCTGTTAATATGAATGTCATTAACAGAATATAAACGAAGGAAATCAGAAACTTGATGAAAAGGTTATTTAGAAGCAAAAAGCAAGAAGAACATGTCTGCCTTTGGCTGTTCTGGGGGACATGAGCTAAACTAACTTGTTCATCTCAAAAGGAATATTTTCATTGTTTTGAAAGGGGTGAGGAAGTTAAATGTAGAATGTTACAATAAGAATTTTGCAGACTGATGTTTACTTCTCAGATAGAATAACCCTGCAGCAGCATGTTCTACAGTTCTTCCCAACTTGGTGCTTGTGGCATTCCCCTGTGGAAACAGAGTTCTTGTGACATGCACAGTTTTCTTTTAACAAGTTTTCGCTCATTCTCAAACTCTGCTGAAAACTTTGAGTTGTGACTTAATCTAGCAGGTGCGAGATTTTTGCTCCCCTGGTGTCTAAGCTCACAGGAGCTTTTAACTGAGGTCAGTCTTTCATTGTGAGGGTGCTTTGAGTGCTGTTCGCTTCAGGTGAGACACGTTTCATATTAAGTGTGATGCCAAATGAGGCCTGCGGCGCTCTTCAATTTTTCATGTGTTTTTAGTACTTTCTGTCTTAAATACTGGTCTTCTGCAAGCAAAATATAAAAAGATCTGCCATGTATCTTTGTATCTATTCAACTTTTTAAAAATTGGGGCGTTGCAGTGTGTTCTGTCCATCTGAACTGTGGGGCAGCATCCAATTAACTTTGCTGTATTTTGCTTAATCTGAGTAGACAGATTGTCCCTGTGCACTTCAGGATTCATCCAGCTGTTTCTGTCTCATATCGTCAATTAACACCAGAACTACACAACTGACAGTCAAGCATTTCCAAACCATCAGTCTCTCCAAGTCTTTTGGAGGGGAATTTTCATGCTTCTGTGACACTTTTTTATTACTGGTTCTGGATGATCTTAATTTCATTTGACCAAAAAAATTTCTTTTCAATCACTTTTAATCATGAATATTTCAAAGAAAAAAATGTCTTGATTTCATAATCTTTTAGAATTTCTGATACGGTCTCCTTATAGTAAACATGTTTAAAAAATCTAATTTCAGTTAAGGCAGTGGTTGTGTGTAATATGCAATTACCAATTACACTTAAATATGAGCAGCTTGGTAGGTATGATAATAAAAGTCTATTTTTCAACCCCAAAATCAGTTTGATTCAATTCAATCTTTTGTGCATGCTTTTAGTCAAACAGGAGGCAGCGGTCAGATACAGAGCATTCCATTATTTGTCTTTGAGGGTGTCTTCCCTTACAAGGTGCATGTTTCCATCGATTCATGGGGAAGTAAATTACGTTTCCTCTCATTCTCTATCTGGAGAGCCCGACAAAACACTTTATGAGGGCAGTTCATTTTTTTTGTCCTCACAGCAAAGTTTTCTTTCCAAATTTCTCTCAACAACAGAAGTCCCTCACTGCTGGTCTTGCGGGGCACCGGCATTGGGAAGCTGATGGTGTTTCTGACTCTTTGTTGCTAGCATAATCATGCCACGTAGTGTGTCTGTGTGTGGGAGACCGGTGACTCACCGAGGCTCTGCGGGAGAAGACCAAGCCTAATCACCAACAGGCCCAAAATCAACCTCTACGCCTCAGTGATGAGCTCTCATTCCCTTTCCTCATGCTTTTAGTATCTCGAGCTATTCTCTTAGCTGCTATTACGTCTGTCTGTTTGTCTGCTGTATGGTCTAGACCCATTTCCTCAATATATTTCACAGCTTTTACAGCTGTCTCCATTTCGCTGTCCCTCCCTGTTGCACATCCAAACAGCTTTTAGCAATTTCTGTCAATCTAATTTTGATGTATAAGTTCTTTTTTTTGTGGCTATTTTTCCACATTTATGTTTGTTTGTCTAATTTGCAGCAATGTCCCCATGCTGTTAAACCATAAATAATAGGTAAATGTAAATACGTCCTCTGTTAACAACTGCACCTAACACTCTGCTCCTCTTTCACCTGCACCGCGCTCATTAGCAAGACATCCAACTCCACCGCCCCTTTCTACTTCAAGCAGACAACTAGTCAGGCAGGCAAATATCAATCAGGCATGTTTAAATATTAAACTGATTCCAAATCTATCTGTTGCACAAAATGAGCTGTCACCATGGCGACAACAGGGGCGGGGCCTTCCTCGACTCCGTTTTTAATGAACGAATAAACTTGGCTCCCCAGAGATGCCTGTGCATGTGTGTTTGATACAGACAGAAAAGCGGGAGGAAAGCAGAACAAAAATGGATGCTCTCACCTGTTTGTGTGGTTGAATAAACATGTAGACACAAAAAGGGGCTGATAAAAAGCATTAAATAAAAGGAAGCTCCTGCACTGTATGTATGCAACAAGGCAAAGTGGGAGCGAAATCTTGTTAAGCAGGAAACAGAGCTCCATAAAATAAGCAATAAGGGTGTTTTGATAGCACATCAAGGAAGACAACTCCTACTAATTAATTTGCCCGCTTACTTGAGCTGTTTTGTGTATTTGTGTTGGCTGTTTGGTGTTGTCTTCACAGTAATAGGATTGTTTTGCTGCGAAGGAATGTTTGGCAATTACATTTTTCTTTGGCTTTTCCACATAAAAGTTTTTGGTCCTTCGAGACATAATTCAATATTCTCTGTGAAAAAACAAGCTTTGCAGTAAATAAATATGTTTATGCATCTTCTTCTGGATATGTGCAGATTATTGTGGCAACATGTTGCTTCAGTTTGCACTTTGTCAGATTGTTACACATTTTAGTGGTTTGTGTTAATGGTCTATTTTCTGTTTTGGAGATGCAAATGACTCATTAGGAATACAGTCAGACAATGAGTTAGAAAAGGATGGTGCTTTTATCCACTGATTTAATTTGAGAAATATTATCTCCAACAAAGCAGGTTAGGTGCTACCATGGAGATCTAACCCAGGTTGAAAAAGGGACAGTATTGTGGTGGTGGAATCTTTGATTTTATAGGCCCTATCACTCTTCAATTCAGTCTATTTGTCAAACAGGTTCCCAGAGCTTTTCTCTAAACTTAAATAAATTTGTCAAGAACATTAACCAATTAATACTTTTGACGAACAATTGGAAGACCAGAATAGCATTCCTCACCCAAAGGTCAAGCAACTAGTCTCCTGAGTTTCTTGGTGTTTCCAGACTAATTAGAAAGAACAGGGGTTAAAAGTGTTCTCTAAAAATTGTGTTTAGTTATGAACATAGGGGCTGATTTATAAAGTACACAATGGAAGTTACGTTCAAACAAGAAAAAAGGCACACAGGGAGTATATTTGATTATAAAACACAGCAACAGTATCTTTATTAACTTTACCAAGTACTGCTTGGTGCCTAAATGGACCTATATTAAAAATGAGGCCCTTCTGCCTTAAATTCAAATGCCCTTATGTCTGTGTTGGTTCTATTAACCCCCTCATACCGCCTTTGATTAAAACAACTAAAACATGAGGGCTCATAAAATAATTTTAAGTAACAGTGTTGTGTACTGGAAAGGTTTGGAATAGCTGTAAGCAATAGCAATTCTCAGAGTAACATTAGCATCACTGAGCAAACTACAGATGGCAGCAAAAGTTGGGTTGCTCTTGGCTAAATCAATGATCACAAGAATTTTGAAGTCAGTTAAACTATGAGAGACCAGAGAGGGAGAGAGCCAGACAAAGTCTTTTCTTTTACAATAAACACAGTCAGTCCCCAGGAGCTTCTTTGAAACACCACAATTGATGTCTAATGGTGTCTGCCAGGCCTCCTTTAAGAAGCCATATCACTCCCAGATCATGCATTTTTTTGCTTATGCAATAGTATTGGAAAAAACGAATGAAATCAGATCCTATGAGGTTTAGTTGAATAACAGTGAGCAGCGGTAAACTTTTTATCGTGCTAACACTAGCTATTTTCACTGACTTAGTTTCAGATAATATTTTTCCCCAGGCCATCTGTCCACCTACCGGTTGCATATGTTCTCCTCATTAGTAGGAGAACTTGCATAGGGAATTATCTTTATTTTAGATATATTTTTTGTTAAATGATTGTATCTCTTCTCTGCTCTCTCTCATCAAACCTGTATTAAATGAGATACTTGACATTTTTCATTAACATAGACAAAACAACTAAAAAGAGTCAAACAAACTTTAAAACTATGTGTGTCAGGTTTGACATTCCGTGGAGGTCATACCACATGAATAATATATATATTCCTTTTCTGTTTTGTCTATTACGTCTGTCTTTCTCTTGTAATCATCACTCTCTCCCCTCCTGATTTCTACATCCAGATGTGATTGAACAGACACCTCTGTCTTCCCTACAGACAAATAGATTCTCTCCTTTGTTCACACTCGCAGAGCTCACGACCACCTCTTCAGACCCTGTCTCTTTCACCGGGATCCCTGAGTCCCCCCGGGTTATATTTCTTTCCAGAATGCTAAAATCATTTTCACGGTCTGATTTCTCTCTTCCTCCACACACCCTCTCTATATTTTCATAATTCTGCCAACACCTTAATCTTTATATTTCTATATGCCATCTTTTCCTCCTGCCATCCCCTCTCTTTGGCCTGCTTTCCATTGCTGCCCACTTTGTCTTCTCCAGTTACATAATACAAAACAACTTTACTTTGGATCAAAATTCCTCTGATCTTTATATATATTACTTTTGCTTACGCGCATGTTTTACTGGGATTTAAGCTACACTGAAACTATACATGAGTTAAAACGGCAAAATATGGGACATGAAATGTAAAGTGACAAAATTGATCGAATAAAAAAGTAAAGACTGCGTATATAGTGCTTGCATTCTGATTTCCTCCCACCTTTTCAAATGTGTATGCTTAAATCTGTGCTAATCCTGTGAGGATGTGCATCTGTCTTTTGCTCAGCCAGCATGACCTTCTCATATTTTCTCCCATTCTCTCTCTCCTCTTCTTCCTCCTTTGTCTATGTATTCTGGCAGGTATCCTCCATTTTGGCTGAACAAAGAACCAAACCAAAACACCCTCCTTTGCATCACTCCCCCTGGTTCTCTATTCTTCTGTCATCCTTCCCTCTCGCACTTCCTCTTCCCAGATGACTTTACCTTCTTACGCTGCTAACTCTGCAGCATTCGATTTATTTCTCCTTTTTCACTTCAGCATCAATTCAAGTATTATTTACATCTTATAACGTAAATATTCTGCAGTTTCGTCTCCTCTCAGCTTGCTTTAGAAGGAACAGCTTCAACTTTTTACCCTCTTAATGCTTTATCTGTTTATACTTTTTATGCATGCTCTTTCTGTCTGCAGTGTTGTCATGCACAGTTGACCAGAACATGGAGATGGACCAAGTGCTCCACCAGCACTGCTCAAATAAAAAGATAAAAAACTCTGTCAACCAATTAATTAACTGATATTGTGGTTCCAAACCTGAGCAGTGAGCAACAATAATGATGTGTGTGTTCTAGCTCAAGTGCATTTGCACATGTGAGGAGGCGACGGTGTGGGCACCCAACAAAGTCATCTGCCGTGTGTGATTTTAAGCATGGCAGTCAGGAGTGTGTTCACACCTGTGGGGCTCGGCTATGTGTGCGGCTCCGTTTTCATTAAGCCCTATCAAGCTGTGCACTCATGTGTGCGAGCTTTCGCTTGTGTGAGTGTCAGAGTCAAATCCTCTATCACAAACTGCCCTCCTTCCTTTCACTTCTTTCCCTCCATCACCCAGTCTGAGTGCTCCCTCCTGGGGTATCATTACATCCTCCACCTGGCTCCCTCAGATCAGAGCCATCAGTCCAGCCTGTTCTTCTGCCCTCCATCAAACGAGCCCTGTCAGACGTCTAACGTCACGCCGACCACACACGCATACACACACACATACACACACACAAGCACGGGGAACTGAGCATAGGCATATGTTCTCTAGGAGGTCACAAGGGACGAAGGAGATAGACGGCACGGAGCGCACAGCGCAAGCACAACTCTTATTAACAGACTTAACAGAAGTCCCAGTCATGAATTCTACAAGTGGATTAAATCCGCAAAGACACAAAAGCGAGAACATTGCCACAGTCACAACAATATGAAAAAAAAAAGCTGGATTCATCTTTAATGGGAGCAATTTAAACACAGATGGTAGCCACTGTCTTTCAGCGAGGTGTTCATTCACTGCCACATTTAATGCCAGAGTGACCCCTAGTGGTCAAAGTGGTAACAGCAGAACTTCAGATTTGAGCCAAATTCAGAACACAAAGCCCTCACAAGCAGATGATTCTGCTTAAGCCTGTTCTTTGTTTTGCAAAAAGTTTTCGTTATTCTGACCATAACACGTGGATATTTGGCTCCATGCAGGTAGCCAGGCAGAACTCGACCACACTGTGCTGCGGCTCAGCAAAGGAGCTATTGCCTATTCACAGCACAGCAGCTATCCTACTGAAAACAGATCATGGACCTCCCTGAAGTAAATGAAAGTGTGAAGGGGACAAGGTGCACACAGGTCGATTCAAGTAGTGTAAAGATTCACATCTAAGATTAAGGTCAATAACCCTGTCTTTCTCAATTCTGTCTGGGCTTTATTAAAAATATAACTCAAAGGCTGTGTCACAACATCTGAAAAGATTTCTTTACTACTTCCACACTTTCAAATCCATAAGGACGTATTGTTAAATGGATAGATGATGAGCAAAAAACAGAAGAGATGATTTCCTTGCCAAAGGATAGAATTTTTAACTTACATTGATCTGAAACACTGAGCTCAAATCCCCCTTGCTATATTAATTCTTTTCTGAAAGCTGAATCAAAACCGACAGTCCAACTGACACATTGGACAGACGTGCAAGTAGATACTTGCAATCTTGCTGAATGTGTGAAGCAAAACCAAATTTAAAGTTTATACATGATAGATCTTACTAAGTGAACCTTTTGTCCTCATTAGATTTGACCAAATTGCCTGATTTTCAGCATTAGGCTTAAGGGTATATTAAAGTTCAATCCCTCTGATCGAGCACCATGGATTTAATGAAAAGAGAAAACAATCTCATCTAGGACTTCCCGCGGTCACTTTTATTGTCGGAGGGATTTCCAGGTTGCTTGACCTTATCTAGCAGTAAAATACAGCGGAGGTACGGAACAAACACCAATGAAATAACATGAAATTTAATCTGTTCTCATAAACATGCGCACACTTATCCACACAGTCACACTCATCCATTGCATGCACAATAAACCAATCTCACAGCAGGTTTAACTCACGTGGTGAAAGCGGGATTGTACTTGGCTCCCAGGTAGTATGAGTAAAGGTTGAACATGCCAATCATGAAGGCCACGAACACCATGATGAAGATGACCATGAACTTGAAGATGTCTTTGACCGTGCGCCCCAGTGAGATCTGCAAGGGTCCGAAACTCTCGTTGGCCGGCAGTATGTAGGCGATGCGTGAGAAGCTCAGTACCACAGCAATGGCGTACAGGCCCTCTGAGATGATCTGGGGGTCAGATGGACGCCACTTGTTCCTGGCTGAAGGAAGAGAGGAAAAATCTTTATGGATGTTCATATTGTGTTTTTAATTGACCTTTCTGGTGTTTTCTGTCCTCCTCCTTAAGTGCTAACAAGTGCAAAACAGTCTTGTATAATAAATTAATTCAATATTAGTTGCATATCACTAATGAAGATCAAGAAGACTGGTGTTTTTGCTATGCAAGTTTATTTTAAATCACACAAGCAATCTTTTGATTATTTTTAGGTAAAGTGTATAGAGTAAACTTTATGTGGTAGTGACTAATAATTATTCAGAGAAGTTGCCATGGAGAATAATCGCAGCTTTTAGGAAAATAAGCCTATGAGACCGCACACTGAGAGGATGAATTAAGTGAGGATGGAAATAGAAGAGGCATGGTGGAAGATGAAAGGGGGGGGGCAGTAGGAGGGAGAGCCAATGAAGATGAGCTGGTCAGACTGCAAAGAAAAGAGATGAAGAGGAAGTATGTTGGAGATGTAGAGAAAAGAATATGGGGTTCAAGTGTAGCATATGTATAGAAAAGGATAATTAAACTTGAATGAAAATTAAAAGAGAGAAGTTAGTTATTGTTATGGTTCAATTTACAATTTTACTGTCACGGACCCAAAATGATTCTTTTCCATTTCCTGATGTGACTGAATCCAACCACTAGGGGGCAGGAAAGGTGAAGCTTCTTTTCATGTACCACAAACATGAGAAAAGAAAGGCCCGCGGCCTGCCTTAGGATTTCATATTAACGCCTTAATGCTGGTTCTGGTCACTGTGCATGTGCTTACCATTCAGGATTCGATTACTTTGTGAATTTTTCCTCTGATCTTTACGTTTACATATGTCCCTTTCTGCTGCACGCACGTATATAACAACCCCATGCTGTTTATGGCTCTGCTGGGTAATTTATGAGCTTGCGTGCAATCACTCAAACTTGCATAGTGTGTGGTAGTCATACAAAACAGCACCTCTACTGCATGTTCCACGGAAGGGATGATCAAATACAACACTGTGTGTGCAAATGACCAAAAATCCTTAGAAAGTAAGTTGCAACAAATGCTCTCTCAGCTTCTTGTTTAATCAAAGCTCCCTGGTCACAAATTACATCTTGGCATTGCAAAAGCAGAGGGGTTAAAAGAGTATTGGTGTCCAGCCTAGTATGTTCCAGCCTACATGCACCTTACAAACACAACAAAGTGGTTTAAAGAAGAAAAGTGCAACAATTTCCACAAGAACAGTCTTTAAAAAAGGGTCACTAAACTGCACAGTCAATTCTGTTGAAGAGATTCATTTTCAGCTGTAGAATTGACAAACAACCAATTGAAAAATGATGGCCAACGCAAAAACTATGGGCAAGTGACCCAGTGCAGCACCCAGCCAAAGTATACTGTTTGTCACTGTCAGGACGTATTAGAGATGAGAAGCTGCTTAAACATGATAAATAGCTCTCATTAAATGGACATTGTGTAGTATTTTAAGTATTTATTAGTTAAAATAATTTTCTTCATTCATAAATGTGTCCTCATTTGCTCTAAAATTACTTCTGCAATGATCTGACTTCTCCTCATAAGCGAAGAATTTCCCATCTGTATATACACAGGACGGGTTAGTCCATAGAGGTTTCCATGTGTTTCTGCCATTTTGAACAACTATAATCTCAGAAAGGGACATAAAGCACTAGTCTACCTGTCAAGCTAATCCACAACGCGTTTTTGTTTGAGCCAGAATCACGTGATTCGCTTGTCAATTTGAAAGCTTGCATTGCACTTTAGTCCATCATCTGAGAGAAAACTGGATGATGTGGAAGTCATGTCGTCATTACTTTTTGTTGCATGATGGCTACCGTAGTTGCAATACCCATTTGAAAATACGAGGCACTAGAGAACACCATTTGTTAGAATGCAAAATACAATTTCACCGTTAGATGGGATGCATTCCTACACCGTGTACCTTTAAGACTGATAGACAGAAAATTCTGAGCAAACAAAGACCACAAAGAGTAAGAACCGCCCAAACTATTTCTAAACTTCTAATAGTGCTATGAGTAATATGTCTGCAAGAAAAACTGTTCACCGTAAGTGAAGTAAGCCACTTCGTCAGGTAGGGAGGCGTTGCTGAGGTCCTCATCGCGCACATGCATGTCCACATACTGCTGGGCTTTGGATGCCTTAAGGAAAGCCATGAAGCGAGCTGTGTAAGAAGCCACAAAGATGGACAACATGCCAAAGTCTAGGACATTCCACAGGTGCATGATGTACTCTCTGGGCCCATCGGTCCAGATCTCCTTGCACTCTGACCAAATCATTCCTGCAGGGAAAAAGAGGGAACATACAGCACACATAAATAATTAAACACAACGAGAACGTTCAAGAAAGTGACAGGTTTGAATAGCAAAGGCATTCTGATCATCACCATCACATAACTTTCACGCTACTAAGGCACCAGTGGTTGTACACAAACACACACCTATTCCACACAATACACTAGCAAAAGCAGCTGCTGTAAAAACAGCCATATAGGAGAAAAGAATGACATTACACATAAATAAATAAAGGCAGCAAAAAATATACCTCAACATACACAGACCACACACATAAAAACATAATAATGTTATTGGCGTGTTAAAGGTTGAGAAAACATCAGCAGATGGAAGCAGCTGAGGTCTAATGCATTATGCTATGGGCTATCCATCCATCGGAGTTTGTCTTCATTTGTCAGACCCCTCTAGCTCCCTTCTTTCGCACACATCTTGTGTGACTCCACACCCATCTCTCTCCCTCAGCCACTCCTTTCCCTCAATTTCCTTGTCTCCCCCAGCACTGTATAAATTTCCTAAGCAACAAATCGCAAGCTCTGATCTGCCCTCTGGCTTATCACTGAGGTTCAGCACAGCTGATGCTTTAAAAATGTTGGATTGTGTTCAATCCCTGCTGGAGGTAACCACTGTCTGATTTTTGGAAGGTGAAAGAGTATGTTTTTTGTTGCTGTATGTTTGTAACCTTGGCTCTCTTTTACTTGGTTGGCGTGCTGCTGTATAAAACCTTAATTATTCCTTATATCAGGGGTTTGCAGAAAGCACAAAGTTAACCCTCTGCAGGACCTGGAATCCTTTGGGTCTGCTCTTAAAACCTTTCCGGTGTAATAGCCACTTCTCTTGCATGCAATGTGTTTAAAATAACCCACTTTTGTAAAAATGTGATTCAAACAGAATGGTGCAACGATACCATGTAAAATCATCTCATTTATGTTAGAAATAATGTCACCTACATCTTTTCTACTATGTCGCGTCACCTCTTCAAACAACACTCTATGAACCTTGAAGATCTGTTTATGTTGTTTTCAAAGAGTGATGCAACCCAATTGTGGGATTCATGTTTTTTTTTGTTACAAACAGCCCCTGATGTTTTTAGAGGATGATAGACCTGGCCATTAGGCATGACTTTTTCAGTGCATAATAATATGCACTGAAAAAGTCATGCCTAATGGCCAGGTCTATCACACCGAACAACATCAGTTATTGTGTGAAATAATCAAGGTATTTTTTTATAAAAGCAGAATATATACATCCGATGATATATACTGCTCATTTTTAATGTTGCCTTCACAAAATTGCAAATTCCAAATGACAGCACCTTCTGTTGACATTTTTATGAACTGTCCTCCCTGTTCCTTAAAGCAGTCATTGATTCATCCATTACTGTTTTACTTCGTCAAACAACAGGGCGCTCATCTACTTCACTTACATAAATAATCAGTTCTGGTATATTTTAACACCCCTTCTATCATGTGTTCTGGTCTAATCCTTTATATGCATTTTAATCGGCTGTGAGCGGAAACTCACCCAACACCCACTTCATGATCAACATCTCTGTCCAGGAGAACTGGGTGGTTTTGACCCTGAACACCTGTCGCGGATAGTCCGTGATGGTCTCGTTGGGCAGGTTCTTGACACCCTCAAAGCGGTCCGAAGCATTGACAATTAACAGGCCAAGAAAGATTGTGAAGGACACAGCATGAGCCACAAACTTCATGAAGGGGCTCCGCAAGATCTGGCCAAGCTGATGGTGAAAAATCAAGAATGCAACAAGGTATCACGTGAGTTTGGCAAGTTAACACAGGCTTACAGATCCGAGCAGGCTATATCAATACAAAAGTAACAATGTTTTTTAGATCTTTTTTTCTTCATCAAACATACTGAAAAAGCGTGTGTACTTTAGGAACAATGCACAAAACATCTGCCCTCTTTGTGAGAAAACACATGCTCTTCTCAGTTCCTGAGATTTAGGTCCTTAGAGAAGAAAGGCTGGAAGGTACCACCACAAAACCAATATTTGCAGTCCAACAACAGCTGTTGTACTTCTTTGATGTGTCTAACCACTCTCACAGCGACAGGATGCCAGAGAAAACCAAACTGTTGATGCCAAACAATCAACAGTTTGTGGAAATGCACCATATGGACAGAACAAAATGCAAGGTGGTACTGCAAAAAAGGCTTTAACATGCTGCCACTTGGACTGCAAAAAGCATGCCAAGGCACACAAATGCACATGCAGATACTTCCAACCCCATATAGACAATTCAGATGCTAGCATTTGCTAATCTCCGAACATGCTGTGTCCAATATTAAGTGCCCACAGGACATCTCTACCCACAGTGTGCAGTACATATCAGATCCTGTAGCTTTTCCCATCTGACACACTCTGCTAAACTGCACAGGAAGCGGTAGTCAGGGAATTCTTAACCCTGTAAAATTTCCTCTAAAGCTTTAGCCACATTCAATCCTCCTATGGGCTCAACTGCGCTGATAAGGCATCCCTCCACTCAAACGATACAGTCATCCAGACCGGGCTCTCTGCTGCACGGTGATGGCAAACAGCATCGGCTCTTTTTATCTGTCACAGTGACAGAAAGTTATCTTCTCCCTGATGAAATGGCACCCACTGACTGCAGGCAAATGGAAATTTAATTTAAAAAGTTTGTTTGAATTTAAATTTTGCACGGAGAATGAAGCATCAGTGTCCTCTTAGTCTGTAAAATATTTACATCAGGGCAAATAAACGCTGACACACATTGTGTGCAGAGATCTCAGTGGAATTTGGTTCCATTGTGTTTCAAAGGGTGTATTCAATTATAAAACTCATAATCAGCTTGTTTAACTTAGCAGCAGCTGCCACTATAACAGACAGTGGTTGTCCAGTTATATCCACTCATTCCATCAGTAATAAATGGACAGTGGCTTGTATTTTTTTGTGCAATGAAATTGATTTTAGCTCACATAAGAAAACAGCTGTGCACAGATGTATCTAACAAGACTGAGTGAAGGACAAAGAGCTGTAAACAATTCAAAGGGAGAAGACTATCTTACACATTTGCAAATGTCACCGAGTGGTTGCTACGGTAAATTGATTGTGAGTGCTTTTATAATCACCATGAACAGAGAGCATCTCTATCATTCTTTTGCTGAAGTGCAAGAAAGGTACTAGTGTTACAATCATTACAGTAGTAATTATTTTAATCAATACACTTTCATTACACATATATCTGGGTAGAGGAATGAACACCAAGTATTAATTTGTCAGATATAGAGATCTATTAATTCTTAAGCTCGTCTCATAAGGTTTTCCTATCAGTAATTTCTTTTCACTCTGTTTAAGAACATTTACAAATGAAATATTTGTTTATCTTTCCACTTGTGATTACCTGTGACAGAGATTTGCGAAACAGCAGCAATAATGGCATGTTCTTTATATCTCTAAGCTACAATGAGAAGCGATCAGGCTTAGAGTTTTCGATAATGGTGTGTTGTGGCGCCATTAAACTGAGAAACATTATGAGCAGCAAGATATGAACAGTTAATGAGAACAGCAAAACAAAATTGCATGATTAGTTCCAGGTGCAGGAGAGCACACAATCTGCAAGAATACATCAAAGCTTTGTCTGTGGAACCTGTCTCTGTCTGTGATCCGGCCTGCTCTATTTGATTATCAAATTGATATTGAAGTGGTGTCTGTTGAGCAATAGTCATATTGTTGCTGAGGGAAAATTGGAATCCTTAGCTCTTGATTTGATTTTTAAATTAAAATAGTTTTATTATCCTTCCCTTTCCAATCATATGATCAACATTTAAAACAACATACAAAACCAAAAAAAACCCCCACAGCAACTCAGCGAAGAGCTCTGCAGCCTGTTAAATCTGCACCTGGCCCCATCCTGCTGCTCACTCTGTGCCCCAAAGTTGCAGACTGTAGCATGCACACTCATCTGCAGCTTGATTCATAATCAAATGCAATCATGCATTCACACATGTGCACGCACTCACACCTCTGCACACGCAGGTGCTCACGCGACCCTGTGTGTTCACACACAGCCAGTGCCTCCTGATTGGAAGCACGTCTCAGCGGTGGAGAAACTCTCACCGTAACCGCTCTCCATCATCTCATACACACTTAACATCAGCTGCTTCCTCTCTTTGCCAACAAAATGACTAATTCATCAGCAAAACCAGACATGAGCCAATAGTCCTCATCGCTGTCTGTGGAGCACTGGATCTTCAGTGCACACGCACACACACGCACACACACACACGCACACACTACCTGATGATAAGGTTTTGGAGGATTATCCTGATTGATGAGCAGATTTGCATAACCGCTGGCTGAGTTCCTGTGTGGCCTCTGTCATATTGTGTCACTTTACAAATTATAATTTCCTTGATGGCGTATTAACTTTATGTGATCAAGAGTTTCTGGCTCTGTATGCAATATATGACGATACCGTGTGCTCTTTTATATGAAATCTGTCATTATTTTGGTTAGACAAGTTAGTATCCTGATGAAATAAAACTGTCCTGAGTCAGTGTTTTAACATCTGTTGGATGGAAACCGTTGCTAAGTCGTCACGGTTTCTAAAGAAAGGGTCCAAAAGACTTCTGTTTGAAGTACAGAATTGAAAGGTTTTGCACAAAGCATCTGAACAGACGCTGAAGGTTAAAGACATTTCCCTGACATTGTTGTGCTTTTATTTCCTGCCATCATCTTTGTTTGTGCGTTTATTGATGTCTGGGCATGGCCTATCACCTCTAATCTCCGTCGGAACACAGCGGATTATGAAGTTCACATCCCTGTCTCTGCTCACAAATCCTCATATGCATATGCTTCTTAGTCTCCAGTCAGTGTCCCACAGCAAAAGTTGGTCTCACTCCGTCGTTCTAAGCCACTCAACACTAAGCACCACTCACATGTCATCTTGTATGCTGGCGCGCCCTCTTAGCTAGGCTCACATCTTCCAACAAATGCACTACATAGATATGCCAGTTTAGATTTTATTCTCTCAGTAAAACAGACTTTTTCCACAGCAAATGTCTCCAATCAACTCTTCAGACATCCATCTTGGGCTGTTTTGTTCAACTACCACTTCAACCATCACACCCTTGTTGTTTAATTAAGAATAAAGTGTCTAAATGTCCTCCTTGCTTGCCTTTTTCTGAGCTCTGATTTGGGGGCCAACTCTTTAAATCAAGCGGCAGTGGTTGAAAATTGGACGGAACATTTTTTTATTTATTAAATGTAAGGTACATCTTAGATGACGCATCATCTGCAGCTGTAATGCAGGCCCTCTTGAAAGAGTTGTAACAGCAAAACAGTAAAGAGACACTCAGAACCATCTGAGAAGCATTGGAACGTATGTGAAAAGAGCAAGTAGGACTTTTATTTAATAAATAGTCAGGCCATCAGCATTTATTGATGTGTGAAAGAAATATTTCTACTGTGGAAAAAAAAAACTAAAACAGAGAACCAAACGATTCCAAGGCTGGATTTTTCAAAGGCATTACTCTTTAGATCTTGGTAAGGTGAATCTAACATGCTGAATGGCAAGCTATTCCTCTTTTGGCTATCTTGAATTTTTAAGATAAAACAAAGCTTTTAGCTGACCAGATAGATTAAGGAGTCACAATCAAAAACATTGTGTCATGGACAAAAGGTTCAACAACAATACTAACAAAATAACCTGCATAAAATCAAATTCACAAATATACAGTGTCTTTAGTTTGAATCGTGCTTGCTCACACAAGTTGTGTATTCATACCTTGCTACATGGCACTATCCAGTAGGCAATGGCCAGGAAGGGCAGACCTACGGTGACTCCCAGCACTGTCCAGCACTTCACGCCGACCGACTGCTGCCTTAGATCCGGCAGGTTCTCATACCAGATAGTCAGCAGCTGCTGCTGGCAGTTTGGATGAGCAACAAACTGAAGAGACAGACAAGACATGGATGAGAAATTCAATTAGGTTGGAGAATAATGTCAGAGGAGAGGAGGAAAAGGGCGGTGGCAGCGCTAGGGGTGGGGTAATCAAAAAGCCATCACTGGGGTAATTTTGAGGGAAAAAAAGCTAGCCAGTCTCCTTCTATTTCCACATAATATTGGATTTTTTCTGACTCTGGTACATATAACACAAGACACTGCCAACATGCTTATGCCTCATTCATTGTAGCCCTTTTGTTGATTTAGTTGCTAATCTGTGTTATGACGTTTTACCAAAAACATATGAAAGGCTTAACTGCCACTGAGGCTATTTCATGAAAAGCGCTGTGTAAAAATCCTTGTGGCATGTCTCATTTCTTCATATTTTCAACTTTCTCTTTCAATTCGCAATAGTTCTATAAGCTCTCTAAGAAGCTGACTCTTTGTACATGAACATGTTCAGAGGAATGCACTGCTGTTTTTGTATCATGAGAAATGGGTTTAATGGATTGTGGCTGTTAAAAGGCAGCCACCAATGAAATACATAGTTTGTTATAGTTTGTTATGTCTTATTGGATGTATTCTTAATTATGCATGCACATTGTTCACCTCATCGGCGTATATATTTCCCATTTCTCTGACAACTTTCATGGAGATGCAACATGTCGAAAGTCTTTTGTGTTATACACTAGTGTGTAGTTTTATTTCAATTCAAAGAACCTTTATGGAGTCTTCATTATTATTATTTCCATAATAATAATGATTTATAATTAGCATTTAAATCCATATAAAAGACCAAAATGCCAATAAGCAGCTTAGTTTAACATAATGCACGCAAAGGAAACCAAGTAAAGAGCAGGGATGACAGAGTCCCCCATTGATTGGTGACTATTCCTGGAAGCCCACACAGGCATCTATCTTGGATCCTCAAATTTTAGGTGTTTAGGTGTTTTTTCGCAATTATGATGTGTTATATAAGCAAATTTGGTTTGCTTCTCACACCTCTCTGCCTCTAAAGAGCATTTATCTGGGCTTACTCCTCTCTTCAAACCCCCAAAAACATAAATGAGCAATGTTTATGTGAACTCAGCTGTCTTTGAATAAATAGCTAAACCACACGCAGCAAAGAATTGCAGTTAAAATTGCCTCCTGCTGATGTCTATAAAGCCACTGACCCATGCCTTAAACCCTAGCTGTGTCCAGCAACATCCACAACAAACAGGCATGCTCCACCTGGTTTCCATGCCAACATACCCCTCCCTCTGCAGTTGCCCCCTCTGTAATTCACCGGCTGGATTTGGATACACTCTGCTAAAGGGTAAAAAAAATAATAAAGTGGCCCAAACAGGCTGCTCTTTGACACACACACGCACACATGCAAACACTTTACAAAAGCACAAAAGCAAACAAATACACATGGGATGTAGCTGATTAAGAAAAACATGCAGCCACTGGGGGGGTCAAATAGGAACGCGTTCCAGTGACAGTTTTGTGTGGGGAAATTGGGAAAAGGGATTTGGTTTGACATTTAGCAAGCCCCTCTTCTCAGTGGGGATTAACTCTTCCGCAGGGGCCAGAGACTTGTTTACTTTAAGTCCTCTGAGGCAGTACGCACAACAACACACAACTTTAAGGTCTGAAGTTTTCAACACTTTGAGGCACCCGTACAGCCGCCTAATTACACGTTAAAGGGCCTGAGTGGATCGAGTTTTAAAGGTTCACGATTCTACCACCTCAAATCCAAAAATGAAAAAAAGGTTTGGATGTTGTTCAAGGTCTACATATGAATACAATGCAACACTTTTTGCAATGTCTTGGTGAAATATGGAAGGCCTCCCCTGGACAGGTTGCTGTCTGGATGAGAGTCTTATTCTGAAACTGATGTGCAAGATATCACTATCATATACACCCCAACGCCATCAGAAACACAGGCTTTTTTAAACCAGGGCCCATAACAAGCTAGATGGCCCCTCTTCCCTAAGTCCTAAACACAGAGTTCACAGGGTTTGATTAATCTAACCTCTGAGGAGTTTTCCACTTTGCCTCAGCACCTTTCACACAAGCAGCGGTTCAGAAAAGCAGTTGTGTGTTTTGGATCATGTGTACACACAGCTTTCATTTAGCGTGACAGATCTTTAACCTTCGTTTGTGCACAGTGAACTGTGTTCACAGACAATTATTTCTGGCAGTGTTCTTTAGCCTGTGTGTGTGTTACCATGTGACCGTGACAGAATCTAGAAGGGCTCAAAGATCGTTGTATCTAATACTGGGTTTCGGCCATGGCCATGCCACGCAGAGAAGTCTCCTGAATTCTCAGAATCATTTCATGTCGTAAAAAGTGATTTCCAATTTTAGACCTTGGAACAGTAATCTGCTATAAATTCACAAATTATGCTCACCAGCTGCTGAACCTCTGTCATTCTTTTTTTCATGACAGACCATGTGTCTGTAAGGTGTTTTCTTTATACCAAATTACACATTTTATTTATAAAATTTAAATGTAATTTGTTAATGTGAATTTTTTCTGTGTGTAAATTTGTTTTGCATAGGGTCTCGCTTCTAATAATTAAGGCTGTATTTTTTCTTGTGAGCTATAAAACTAATCTAAAAATGAATGAACACAAAACAAAGAGAAGAGCATAGTTTACAGGACACTCATTTTGTGGTTTATCATAATAAACATTCATAGACTAATAACCACATAACATGAGATTGACATAATTATGTATAATATCTTTAATAAAGAGGAGAGTTACAGAAAATATCTGTGGGCAGTGACATTTAAGTTCAGGAAAGGTCAGCATCATGGGTAAAACAAACAACTCTCAGAATTTGTAAAAATCCCCAGTCCATGTGTCAAGCCCTGTGTGTGACCATACGTCAGCTTGGCCTTTACAGCTTTATGATTTGCTGAGCCATAAAAGTGTCATAGCATTCCCAATATCTTACACAACAGAAAACTCCTGCAGTCCGCAGCCTCTAACTCACTACATGTCCTTCAAAGCTGTTTGAACAAACAACTATTGCTGGCTTACTTTAAGTATCTTTGGAACTGTTTTTTTTCCTTTTACATTACGTATATAACAGTGGTAGATTTTAATCTAGAAACCTACTTGATCAAAACCCTAATAACAAAAAGTCTGTTCCTCCTGATGAAAAATGTTTTTAATATCATTGAGACATGTTCTTCTCAGGAACGTCTTGCGACATTTGCTGTAGAAAATTTGATTTCTTTTATTATATGTTTGGCATTATTGTGGCATTCTGATCGTGCATTTCTCAGCTATGACTGTTGGATGGTGCTCGTCTTTGTACCATGTGATTTTTCAACATGTTGTAACAAGTAAGAAATAATTACATGAGTTACTAAATAAGGTTCATTCATTCAATCATAGGACCTTAATGGTTTCTAGCCTGTATAACTTCTCCTGCCTTTTCACGCCAGTCTTTGATCAAACACCCAGAAATGATTGGATTATGTTGCAGGCGGCTTTCACTAAGCTTAGGAAATCAACTTTTCATTCCAGTGTATCTGCAACCTGAGGTGACACGCAGCATAATCCACAACTTTTATAAATGGCAATTTAGAATTTTGATGAAATCCTCAGCCCTTTTTTTGGCCGCTTAATTTTATAACAGATCAAAGACCTGTGCAAAACATAAGTAAGAACAAAAAATGGTTTGAAAATCTCTGAAACTGAAACGGGTTTTACTGAAAGAGACAGTTTCCGGTGTTTAAATTGATTTCTTCAAGGACAAGTAGAGCACCCTAAAACGACTGTTAGGAACAGGTTCATTCTTTGAGTTGGCATATAATTCAGAAATGTATCAATTAATGCTTCTTCTCACAACATCTCAAAAGAATTGAGATCTATCGTCCAACCTAAGCCCATAATGGAACATATCATTCTATCAAATGCTGCAGCCTTCTTTAGGCCCTAATTTATTTGCGATAGGCCATAGCAAATTGAAAAATAATTCCATGGGAATAGTTGCAGCTGAGTCCACCACACGAATAAGGAAAATGATAATTAAGCTCAGTACAGGGGTAAAAACCCAACATGATATGGAGGAAATTTTGTTCTCACCGGGGGTGGAACAGCTATGTAATTTTCGTACATAGCTGATAAATTTGTCTCAGTTTATCTCTCTTACCTTTTTGACTTCATATTTGATGGCCAGTTGGACGCGGCTGAGGCAGGGTCGGTTGTAGGCGCTTGGTGGGCACAGGTCCACATCCCCGTTCAGTATGGCCTCAACTTCCTCAGTGTCCCGACAAAGGTCCAACACACCCACCACAAAGTCTTTACACTGCATGGACAGCTTTCGGTAGTCGTTCTGCGTGACAGTGGTGGAGGCAAAAGAGGAGGCATTCATGTTACAGGAAGTTGTGACCAATGCACATTTAGTCAAATATATCAAGGTGGACAAAACTGATTAGATGATTCATCAGACTGTGACCGTGTCTTCAACCTGTTGCTCCCCCGGTCATTACCACTGTGTGATCTGAATGCTTTGTATTCTCACAATATCTGTACAGAGTAATGTTTTTAAGTCTGCTATCCTGCAGGACATTTAGAATTTAAACTGCTCAACTTGACTTTTGACACTGGAAACGACAACATCGCGCTGACATTTATTCCTATTTGCAATTATAATTTCACTGGAGTGGAAAACATTAAAAACGATCTTTCCCTTTTTTGTTTAAAAAGATTGACATCATGTACATCAGTTTAAAAAAAAAAGTCACGACTTTGAAGTTATGAATAAACGAACAAATGCACAAATGAACAACATTTATCAACATAAAACCGCTATAAACAGTGGGAAATTCCTACAGCGGTTAGAATTGAACCCAGGATTTGTCTTAAATTTTCCACTTATTTTCAATTTTTTCTGTTTTGCTGTCACTCAGTAGAGACCAGTGTTATGAGTTAAGAGCACATGCCCAGGGTTGGAAGTACATTTAAGGTTAAAGCTTTCATGTTTTGTATTCATGGATCACTGCTGCTGTCACACGGCCTGATATCACAAAACAACTGCCCGAACATAAGCTGGTGTGTGGACACACTCCCGCCTCACCGCGCTCCACAACAGCTGTACAGGGACGCAGCCAGCAGACTGAAGCTTCGGGCTATTTATATAAGAAATGGTTCTCATTATGCGCTCATCTCCAGGTTGTTGCTCAAGTGAGTCCTCACAGTGTGTTAAAGCAAAAACGTATATGCAGGTCTTCCCAGTAGAATAATTAGTTTTAAACACTTTGGGAAATCATTAATTCTGCTCTGACTTTCTTTCAGAGCACATTTTTCAGTATTCATGATTCTCCCCAGTATGTTGTGCCTCTACTGATCATGAACTCAATTTATATTCCTGCAGCGTACAGCCGTTTTGGCTAGATATTTTTTTCTGGCATTACTTGGATGGCGTCTCTCTTTGAATACAGAACTCACTTTTGTGGAGTGCTCTTAAACACCATACAGCTTTGGAATACCAGATATACTGTTCTGGTTTCATAATTAAAGTCAAAATACATGCATTTTGGTCAGTCACAGGCTTCTTTTGGCCTTCAATGAAGGAAAGAGAAAAAATGTAATCCCATGTATAATTCATTTAAGCTAACCAGTGACGTGAATCCATTTGACCTCAGAGCAGTTCTTGCAGAACATGTAAAAGAGCATTATCTTCACAGATGCCATACACGTGTGAAAATCCATTATCAGTCCAAAGAAAATATCTTCTGCCCGTGAAGATGAGATTAATTCTGAAGTTGTGAGGCAGAAATTGAAAATGAGGCTGTGTGAAACAGAACGAGTCTTATTACAGATGAGGGGAGTGAGGGGACACAAGCCCAGTGTGCGACGGAGCGCTTCTAGTCACGGTTCAAACGGCCTAAACTGCAAATTGGAGAATGAAATGTCTCAAACCAGAAATTGATGGACTGTCTTAAAAAGTCAGATGTTGAAAGATAAATGTTACCTTGGAGGGCAGATGCTAGCTGCCCGTACCAGGCCCCAAATGGTCATTTAATGTGCAATGTGGGCAACACATTGGACATTTAGCCAGAAGGGGAAAAAAACACTGCTTGCCTGCAAACAGTTATTTGATTGTGAGAACATCTGAGCACATTTTCTTCTTTCTACAAAAGGAAATGAACACATAAGCTTTCTCCCATACTAGATTCGGATTTTTGGTAGTTATTTCGCGAGGATCAGGTTTTGGAGGTGCAAATTCAGGTTCTATGCAGCATACTAACAGTGGTGATAGAGCAAACTGTAAGAAAACCACTGGCCTTCATCTTGAGTAGAACATTGAATGAAACTCACTTCCACTCCTGTAATTCTATATAATTTCAGAATATAAACTCTCCTCCCAAACGACTGCCCAAACATCACAAACACCCACAAAGAACTTCATGATTATATGTTGTCTTTAACTAGAAATGTTTCCCATAACTAAAATGCTACCTAACAATAACCACCACAAACATCACTGAACGTCTACATTAAACAAAATGTTATGACAAAAGTAAACACAATGGCTAAAAGAACTATTATTTCCACATATCAGCTTGGAAAAAAAACCCCATCAACATACAAAAGAGCAGCGAGGATGATTTACGGACATCTAGTTTTAAGATTAAAGATTGATAAGTATTTTGCAAAAAAATGTAAGCAACAACAACAAACATACACAGTCCTTCCATCATGAGGCTTCAATATATTTGAATAAATGAATATAGTGAAAACTATTTGAAGTATCTCTTAGTCATTAATACATCATCTATGGCAGTAATGACTGTTTGCTACTGGTCTGGTGTTGATGTCGTCTCATTCCAAAATTTAAACCGTTTAGTCATTATATTTAATTTCCGTGTAAACTCTGATTGACTGATGTTATTGGCAGACTGTATTAACATTATATAATGTTTTAAAGTAAAGAGAAGATGGTGCAAAGAGGGACACAGGGATAAAGAAGAGAGAAGACAGTGGGGTGATAATGAGATGGTAATGAGACAGATAAGTCCGAACACCACCCCAGTCCCCCAGGTGAGCCCCTCTCATTAATTTTCCGGAAGATAAGTAACAGAAAGACAAGCAGACAGGCTGAGATTCATACAAAAAATGTATGCAGAAAGCAGCGCCGGCATGAACAACAGACATAAATTAATGGAGTGTCAGAGGGAAGTAGCAACCCACATGTGGACAATGGCAGACAGAGCAGCAGGATGGGGGACTAAGAGACATGTTCATGTTCTACCAGACTTTTGTTGTAACTTCCTCAGCATTTTTATGTCTAATCTGTTTGTATGACTTTGACTCTTAAATTTAGGATCTCAACATGACTAACAAGGTATTGGTAATTTTTGTATATATGAGTCAGATACAGTTGATCCATCATGGTAGACAGAACATAGACTTCAGCATAACATATCGCTATGTATGATTAAAAGCACTCATATGACATATTGGATCTAATTTTCGGTCCAAGAATTAGCGATGGTGACAACTTAACGAATGTGAATGACTTGTTTGTAATACATGTGGAATGCTCTGATAATGGGGAATTAATTGTGCCCATTTTGTGAAGGGAGAATACTGTAATCTGTTGTGTTCCCAACAGATTGGGTTTGACTGCATCACATTTTAACTGCTGCCAAGCACTCGTCTTTCAAGAAACAATAATCAGAAAGGGGATTCTGGGCAGACGCAGAACATAAAACGCCGTTATAATGATCATAATGGTTAGAGGCAATCATCAAGGGAACACATTTTGTCCAACGGGTGTTTTATCTGGCTTTTTTATGTTATATTTATTTAATTGCCAGGTCCTCGCCACCTCAAACGCCTGCTGAGAGCTTGTGCGCAGTGTAGGGCTTTAACTGCCTGGGAAAAAAGTCTCTTTTTGTCATTCTAAAAGACATAAATCCTCTGGACTTTCTGATCTTTGCCATAAGAAGTTGTAGACTTGCCCATTTTCTTTTGCACATACTCTGAAAATAAATCATTCCAGTACAACTCCACATCTGCTCCAAGACTTTGCCGATATATTAGTCTTCAAGAGTTTCAAAGATGATGGTCGACTTTATCTATTCCTAAATTGGAAAATATACTTACAAGGCATTCATTCAGAGTGAGGAAAAAATCTGATAATGTGTAAATAAATGTGCTGTTATATTCTCTGGTGTTTTGGTTTTGTGGATCATATTTGTTGACGACAATTTTTTTAGTTTTTAAGGCTTCTTGTTGCCATGTTCTTGGTCTCTTTCCTGCTGCTAGCTTCTGTTTTCCGTCTTCCTGAATTTCCCCAGTTCCTCACTGTGTTCGGTTTCCTGTTTTTATTGTGGTCTTTTCTCAGCTTCCTGCCTCCGTCGCCTCCTCAGTGATTTTCCGCTCTGTTCATCAGCTTTCACCTGCTGCTTGTTCTCAGCTGCTCTTCATTCATTAATGAGCCTCCTCAGCGTTTAAGCTTCTGTTTTTTCCTCATTCCTTGTCAGATCCTTGGAGCCATCCACCCATATGTTACCGTTACCATATTTCTATGCTTACCATTGTTCATGTTTGTTTGTTTTTTCGTTTCTTGTTGTTTTGGGAAGTTTATCTTATTTTTGGTCATCCATAACTGCTGCGCTTTCTGTTTAATTTGTAATAAATGTCAGTGTTCACCAGAATTTGTTGTCTGGCAATTATCTGCCCTCTGCCTGGATCCTCACACCCTCACCCATTTGTCTATCCCGTAACAAACCATAACAAATCTAATTCAACGCACACAGACTCAAACTGGCCTCAACAGAAATGGCAGTGCACCCACGCACACAAAGACAGACTTGTTTTCACGTGTTTTACCACCAGCAGCATTATCACAGAAGCAAGATTAATTTCTGTAACTGTTTGTGCGCAATAAAACGATTCTATTTCTTTACCTCAAAGATCTTTTATGTTACATCAAGAGATGAAATCTAACTTTTAAACATTTTCATTTCACCTAAGAAGAGATTGAATTAAAGATGAGTAGTTCTGTGGAGTAATAAAATCTAAGAGTGCCCTGGGAAATCCATTCCAGGTGAAAGCTCTATGATTAAGTTCAATCCCAGGCAGAGATAAAATAAGGCGGTGGCAGGAACAGATTCTCCAACTGTCTCCCAGCATTACATTTTCACTCAACTAAACCGTGCCAGAGACCCTGCCAATTGAAAAGAATACAGAAATTAGAACCTAAGACCCAGGGATGAGATCAGATAGACGGATGAATCCTCACACAACTTTACCTCAAATCTTGAATGATTTTTAGTTTTTTGGATGGGGGGGGGTCTTTTTCCCTAAGTGTCACACCGTGATGCTACATCCAACAACAAAGATAATGAGTGACATCCAAACAGCAAGCAAGTTCTTTACATGCAGCTTGAAAGTCATTTCAGCCGGTGTAAAGACATTGGAGAAAACATGCACATTTCCTTTAGATATTCTCTTACAAAGACTGAGGTGGCTTCACCTTAAACTCTGTCTCGATGTTGGCCAGTCTTGCCAACTCATTGCTGAGCTCCAGGGCTGTGAGCACGGGGTCTTCACTGCTGAGCGACAGGTACGCCGCACTGGCCAGGCCCTTATACGCATTCATCCTGGAGCGTGAGTGGCTGAACGAGTCTTTCTTCTGTTTCTCTATACATTCGGAACATTTGCAGAAGTAGTCGTGAGGTCTTTCTATGCGGGCCCCCTTTGTCAAAAGGATGTGAACGATCTCGTACTCCTGGCAGTGAGCCGCCAAAATGATGGGCGTCACGTCGTGGGAAAAACGTGTTCCATCCTCATCGTATGCGTAAAAGTCGTCATCGCGCATCTCCTGCTCCAGAGGGCTCAAAGTCAGCCGGAGGCCGCCGCCGAAAGCCGGGTGGCCGAGAATAGCCTCAACTATTCGGACGTAACCTTTCGAGATGGCCAAAAGCAGGCCGTCCCCTATCCGGGCCAGACCGTCTTTCTTCAGCAGTAACTCGGTCACTTCCAGGTGCTCGTTGCCCACCGCCAGCTGCAAAGCATTCTGCCCCATGTAGTCCACACAGTTGAAGTTCAGGGTTTTGGACTCCTCCAGCATTTTGCGCACCACAGGAATGTTTCCGTATTCTGCAGAATCCAGAAAACGCTCTTCTTCTGCAGTGAGGGGGGAGCCGCGCTCATTGAACATGTAGGCTGGTCCTCGCACTGCCTGGCGACGCCCCTTCTCCCTCAGCGTGGTGTGCCGCCGATGCATGGCTTCCATCCTGGTAGGGGGATTAAAAAAAACAAAAAAACAATAAGAAACGTTGAAATGAGAAACATTAACAATGAGTGACAGGATGGATATGGAGGTAGGAGAGGACACTGGCGTTAAAAATGAAACAAAGAGGAAATGAAGTAAAGCAGAAAAATGGAGAGGAGATAAGTGCCTGTGTGTCCTTATCAAACAGCTCATTTAAAACAGAGGAAAACAAAGGCATCACTCCTTCTCTCTGCGGATGCACAGACTATCCTGACAGAAAATAGAGAAGTCAGAGACTGATAGTAGACTCCCCCTGCACAGAGATACAAACCAATGCATGTGTCAAGCTTCCTTGTACAAAGTTTGACTGACAAACTCACAACATGGTCAACTTAAGAGTGATCAGCAGTGGACTTTAAAATAAAGTGTTAGAGGACAGCCTAATAAATTAAAAAGTAAAAATGGAAACATGTTCATAGTAGAAATATTCATCCAAATGATGTTAATGTGGAACAGAAACTGAGAAAATGAGAAAATAGTTCACCCAGGTGTGTGTTCATATGTCAGAGTCTGATTCAACTTTACAGGAGCTCTGTGGCTTTTGATTTTCAGGTTTACACCATCATTTTTGTATGTACTTCAGGCTGATCATCAATTCAAGAGGAAAACGACTTCTCCATTTGACTTTTTCTCTTTATGTTTACACAGAGTTTCAGACAGTGCATACATAATGAGGGAAAACATACATTTTCTGTAAAACGTTTTCCAGCTCTACCTCTGTGAAGCTTTTGATGTGCTTTTTGTTATGTTCTCCAGAGAGAGAGAGAGAATAATGTCTCTCAGGGCAATCATTTTCTTCTGCTACTGCGATAGGTGCCTTATTCTTCCTCAACCCTCGTCTTGACAAACACCTTCAAAAACATACTATATTGGAGAGGATTGGGGGAATTGCAGAGACAGGCTGGCTTCCATCCCATTTGAATAACCTTAGAGTAAAGCGATTATTTTTCCATTCCTCTTGCATTTCCTTCTCCATGCATTTTTTATTGTTTACAATTCAGATCTGAAGTACTATTTATCTGCATCTTCCCTAAACTTTGGTAACATGGATGGGAGACAAAATAATAATAAAAGAGAGAAAGTGCCTTTGAAATATTGATCTATAAAGGAGTAATTGAATATATCTAAATAGTATTACTGGTGTTTATTGTGTTTTAATAATTTAATATAAGACTTGAAATACTCCCCTTTTCCATCTAGTTTAGAGAAGAACAGTAATGCCACAGGAAAAAGACTCCCACTCAATTTTAAAACAAAATTGAATCACTTATTCACACTTGTACTCAACTCGCAGTTTTTTAAACCTTGCTGGTGTGACATTGATATTCTCCAACACATCCTGAACCCTGTAAAACCAGCTGTGATGTAAATCTATAGAAATGTTATACCAAAACTTATCTTTGGATGCTTGTTGCTTCCCCCCCAAAAAAGACACATTGGTCTGCTAATTGTCAAGCCCAATTATGGGATTGACCATCCAGGGTGTACCCCGCCTCTCGCCCATTGACTACTGGGGTAGGCTCCAGTGACCCCATTAGGGAATAAGCAGTTATGAAAATGGATAGATGGATGAAATATGGGATTGAAAATAAGGTTAAAGAAAAGGGGGGAAATGCAGCCAATAACCAAATAAATACGTTGGAAATTCCCAAGAAAGCACAGAGAACTTTTAATCATTAGAACCACTTTGTAAATTTAAAAATAATCGGACTTATTGGAAGGAAATTATAAAGAACAGAGGGCTTCCTTAATGCATTTTGACAGCAATCTGTAAAAAAAAGTGTACTGTACTTTTAGAGGAAGCAGATCAAGTGTGGTGGTTTAGGGGGCATTGTGTTGTTTATTGGGAGGAATGAGTGCACATTATTCTAACTTTGTTTAGAGTGATTGCCTTCATCACATACCGAATCACTTCTATTGGACTGGTTCAATGAGAACGAAAATGACGGTAATCATTGGGAATATTTCACTCAAGTTACCCAGTCTCAATCAGGCTTAACTCCTGTGAATGAATTTTGATCAATGTGTTTTCCACCTCCATTATCTAAAGCTTGAATTGGGGAATATCTCTTTGGAGAATTGTTATTCCATCCCTCAGTTCCACATAGTACATAAGCTGTCATGGAAGCAGATGCACGCTGTTCATATCAATCATGAAGTTATTTTTGTTTCATCTGTCATCAGTTAAATGATAAAATTCCAGAATAAGCAAACAACTGAGTTAGGTCACGTACAGGTCAACAAAAGAAGAAAAAGGAAAAAGCAGAAGATGAATGAGGTTTGGAGTCAAATGTAATGTAGAAGCTAATGAGTGAAAAACATGCTTCAACGCTGCAGGGACACTGATTGCAAAGACACAAGCAAAAATAATTTTGAGGACTTAAACTCTCAGCTTTCGTTCAGTCTATTTCATGTAAGAAAAACTAACAAAGTCTTTCAAGCAGCAAAATGATGTTTTTGTCCAGATCAAACATGAAGTTCTAATCCTAATTGAATAGTAATAAGAAACAGGTCCAACCCTCCACCCCCCTTCTTACATCTTTTTTCATTGAACAGCATCTGATATCACACACAGGTGACAGGCATTAGTGAGAGCATGCATGCGTCCTTTCCATGACAGACCTTTTAAGATGAACACTGGTGTATCAAAGAGGCCAAGCAGGAAAGATCAAAGACTCAACACAGAGGCCTGCTATTCTGAATTTCTGATGGTCATGGCTGTGAGCTGGAGGCGCTTGATATGATTTCAACACCACAATGTACGTCCTTCTGAAATACTGCGGACCACTGCTGGGATTTAGATAGTAAGAGGGACTGTGTAACCATTTTCTGTGGTTTGATCTCCTTTAGCCTCACGCGGTGAAGGCAGTGTTTCCTCCTTTAGACCTGCACACACATACATCAGCTTATGCATTCATACATTGGATCCAGTGGACTGGCTCTCTCAATACATGGAGGTAAGGAAAGCTGTAGGGAAAAACCAACCATATTCAAGCTCCAGCATACATTTAGCACATTCACCACTTCATCACAGTTTTAGCTTTATGAGTTTAAACTGTGAGGATCTGTTTATTTATGGTTTATGGATCAAGATAATGCAAGTACTGCTATGGTGAAATTCCACAGTCTAGAACTGTGAATTCATACAATGACCCAAAAAAGGTCTTAATTCATCTACAACAATGGTGTGGTGATCTGTTGTCCAGTCATGCTAACACACACAATGCCTTATTAAGCAAAGATGAGAGCAAACCATTGCCCATCAGTGGTTGAATGGAATTCCTGCTCAAGATTCACCACAGCTGACCTTGTTGACTTTCCAGCTAGATTTAGGGTATTTGATTAAATTGTCTGAACCCAAACGGAATTTTCCTGTCTC